GCGTCTAACACATCACATGTTATACAGAAAGGAAACGCAACGCATACCATTCTTTTTTGGAGTCAAATTCCAGAGCGAGTATTCAGTCTCGTACGAAATCTTCTTTCGCCCATAAAACGACCACCTCGGATCCGTGAAGGAATAACGCGTCGACCGGTATAAAATCTGTCATTAGAAAGCAAAAAAACTAAGGAAAGAGGAGGAAGAGAAAGTGGAGAATCATTTTGAGAGAGGAGATGGGTAGACGCCACATCATCTTCATCATTACCAGTTACCACCAATGGGGAAAAAGATTCCGACATGTTGATTTGACACGGAACTATGGCTTTATGGGAATTAAAGGAGATGAGAAGAAGAAGAGGTGAAACTCCAATAGAGCCGTAGATTTTGAAACCCTGGCGTGGAAGGGGAAGCGTGAACGTTGAGATTAGAAAAATATGTATTTGATATTTTTTCTCAAATCTACTATGGACACGTGTCCTCTGTGTCACATAGATGGAGAGGGTTATTTTGCTTTCGTATAGTAGATTACTCAATAAATAAAATGATTGTTAGTTTTATATCCAAAATGTAAAAGCTATAACGATAAAAAGAAAGGCCTGAAAACCTCTTCTGCAACGATTGATACAAGAAGAGAAAATGTCTACCTAAAGGGTACGACAGAAGAAAATAGCATGATGAGACAAGGAAGATGAAGATAGAGGCGAGTGTGGGTAGAGATGAGGGAAGAGAGCCGGGAAAGGAATAATAATTGTATAGCACTAAGTCTGGTACTCTCTCTTCTAACGCATATCTATGGCTTCGAGCGCTGCATCTGATCAGAAACTCCGTGCAGCGTCGAAACAAAACTTACATGATTTCATTGGATTAGGCAATGGAATCACCGGAGACGGGTGTGATGGCAGTGGTTGCCGACATCTCGAAGAGTCTATCGCAGCCTCTTGAAAGGATCTTTGTGGGGTGTTATCAGAGCTTAAGAGAGTCGGCTCTACATGTGGTGCTAATGTTGAAGAGGAAGAGACTTATCAAGCTTAAACTCTAAACCCTAAGAGGAGTATAAGGATGAGGACGAATGAGGAACGGGACGTGAACGATTGTAAACCACTGGTAGCATTTGGAGAAGACAAATCGATGCAGTATTTGAGCCGAGGTTTAAAAGGATGTTAGAGGAGAAGAAGCGGAAAGGTTGATATCTGGTAATAAATATTTGTTTTATATATATAACATTTGTAAAAACACATGGCTTCTCTTTGTGAGCTCACGTTGCATCTCATGGAGAGAGTGATTCAGCTTTCATTTAATAGATAAGAATCTTAATATATTACTAATTACTTGATTAATGTCTATACAATTTGATTTTATTTTCACACAAAAAATATGATTGAAGACTTTGTGCATCTTGCAAAATTTGCGAATCAATTATGTGAAAAAAATCTTATTAAAATTTGCAGCTTTAGTTTGTAATTAAAAATATGAGATTCGATTCGTCAAGATTTTGGAAAATATATATATGAGTAGATACATAAAAAAAACCTAATTCAATTAAGAATATAAAAACATTAATAATTTGAAAATATGTAACAACTTTAATTGAAAATAAAAGAGTCAAAACAACTTAATAACGATAAGACTTTCCTATCAGTGGTTTTGTACTTCGTGTTTTGTTTTTTCACAATTTAGAAAACATTTAT